GCCAAGCAAGAACCTTAACCATCTATATCATCTCTCCCCAAGAACCTTCCAGCACCAGTGACATGGAACTGCCCTGCCCTGAAAAACCTCCAATTAAGCAGGTGCCCACCCAAACAGCAGATGTTAACCATCACCCCCAAGTTCCTCTGAAAACATTAGCAAGAGGTCTGACAGCTCAGCAGCAAATATTATGAGAACACGCTGTGTCTCTTGTTCTCTAGCTTGGCAAAACTAGGACCTGTGATGTTACAAACAACTGGGGTTTCACCTGTACTGATAATGCAGAGTGACAAGCTCCACAGCTGGTGGCGAAATATACCTCTTAGGCACAGACCGTTGCTATACCACGAGTCCTACTACATGCATGTAGTTGCACAGAAACGTGTGCCTATGCGTGACAATTGCACAATGTTTGTCCTAGGGACATTATGTCAGAACTCAACTAAGCTTAGAAGTTTTATGGACTGAACAATAAAGCCCTGAACATACTATATGTAGACTCATCCTTGTCTGTGTGCTTTTTCCCTTCGTTCGTATTTAAATATTTGTATGTGTCTCTGTGTGTATTCAATTAGTACTTGGCTGGATAGAGCTTGTTGCCAAAACCTGCCTGCCAAGAGCAGTGGCTTCCTTTCCAAGAAACCGCAGGGGCACATTGGCATCCTATCTGTCCCAACACCCTGTGCCACCTTGGCCTGCAGCAACGGACTTCAGGCATCAACAGTACAGAAACTTGTTATTGAGCCACAGCCCGGATTGACCTCTGTTGATTTATAAGCACCGGGGCCAAGAAGCAGCTCCGCAAAGCCGGCCACCTTGCCTGTTACTCCTGCGTGGTCTTCACAGAGAATCGGATGATGTTGGGCGGGCAAGGGAGTTCTTGTACAGGGCAAGTGGATCGACTCTGCATGTTGCACAGATGCGCCCACTTCCCTTATGGAGCTCATATGGATGCACAGGGCCCTAGACTCATAAAGTGAACATGTGATCACCCCCATATATCTTTAAGCTATATCTTCTCCCATATATATTAAATGTCATTAGATACACAGAAAAGCTACCAAAGAAAGGCTTCCAAGTACATGCAGCTATTTCCCAATATTTTAAGTGCTGAAGTATTTTAAGATGGGGTTTTATTTGAATTTTGTTGTTTGATGTTCTATACTATTACTCTCCTAGGACTTTTAGGGTCAGGCTTTTTATGCTTTTAGTGGCCAGGAAAGTTAGGGGTCTGCATTAACATTCACCGGGTCAGTCTCCCGGACTTTGGCTTCTTTTATCAAGACTTATATAACTTCCTAAAACAATAAAAGGCAAACAAAACACAAGTTTGTTCAATAGTCAACAATTAAACTGCACATTCATCATCATCATCACCATCACCATCACCATCACCCAATAGCCAAAGCTCCTTATTTGACAAGCATAAATGTATTTGCGAATCACCTGCCTAAATCAAACACTGAAAATGAAGTTAAGCTTAAATTTTGCTGATCTTGCCATTCTATATATTCAGCTATTCTCTCCTTTTCAGGGTTACAGACCACAACATATGGATTGAAAGCTTTCTGTTGTGAGTAATGAGTAGTGCACTGCAGTGTACGTATCTCGGGAGAGTTAGCTGGGATAGGAGAAAAGTTTATTAAGCATCTTTATAACCACAGGGGGAAAAATGTGCCCCATTGCTTTAGTTGGCTGCAACTTCAAGGTTAATGCTAACATAACGTAGCAGCAAACCCAGATACTCACGACAGCTACATCAACTGCACAAAGGCTACAGATTGCTAGTGGAGCAACATGAACAACCACTCCAGCAGTATCCTGAGAAACCCCACCTCTGTGTACCAGTCCTGTCTGTGTATACCACCAATACCTCCATTTTCTCCAGAAAGCATCTCTCAGAGCTTGGCAATAACCACAATGTCAAAATGAGATTACCCTACTCAGTCCACTCCGTTTCACACAGGCAATGTACCGCCAGTCCAACAGAGAAAGCCCCCAGTGCCTAGCCTGAAAGAGGCCACCATCACCCATAGGATAGGAGGGAAACAGCAGCTGATATCTGTAGTCAGAAGGTTGGCTATTATGACCCACGAACCAGTAGTCTGATTCAAGCAATTGCCTTTTTCAGACATGCTCTGGGAGGCCTTTCCTTTGCCCAGACCTTTCTATCCCACATCCAGCCACGTCTTCCCAAAGCTTATTTGGCTGACTGGCCAGCATCGGCTGATGGTTGCCCTGGCATGCCTTGCGATCGTTCCCCTGCACCAGCCCACCACCTCCTGCAGCCAAACTGCACCAGTGGCAACCATGAAAGTCACTGCACCTCTGGGATTCCCGCCTGATGCCTTGCTAATACGGCAGGGGCCAGGCTGTGGACAAGCTGCAGACCGAGTGCCGGTATGGTGGGCAGACCCTCTCTTTCCACTGACGGCAATTCCCTGTTGTGAAAATGTTTGAAGTGAATGATAAAAAGACAGGTGCATAGTTGAAACCATTGCTGTTTTTATTTTAAAAGATCAGGAGTGGAATGGGGGCTGAAAGTGACGCAGAGGAGCGGGCCCATCAACCTTTTTGTCCTTGCAGTGTCCTTGTGCCCAAAGAGCTGCATGACAGACAGAAGAGGAACTGGCACAGCTTTCTCCACCATGGCTCTGCCATGTTGGGCAATGCCTCACCTCTTAGATTGCTGTCTGTCATGCATTCTGGGAGGCCACAAGAGCCCTCTAAAGAGGAAGGTGGGAGCCCTATGTGGAAGAACACCAATCACAGCTGCTCTAGGAGGCAGTGGTAATCTTCATGGCACTAGGGCTGGAGACCCCTCTGTTTCCCTGTGAGTGCTCGTAAGCTGCCTGCTTGCCTGCAGAGAGACAAGAGAAACACGGAAATAAGGATGGATGGCGGAAGCAGCTTCAACAGGCAATTTCAATGGCCAAGTGTGCATCAGAGATCAAAGGTGGAGAATTGAGATGTTCTACTCTGTATCTTCTCACTTCCAATTTGCCACTGTTATCTGCTCTTAATATCTGTGTTTGAACCTATATGCCCTCTCACCTAGATGCATTCTCCAGTTTCCATTCATTCTGCTCTACATACCCTGGTTCTGATCAGAAAAGGAACAATGGGTCATGTGTGCCAAAAGATGGAATGGAGTGGACTGATGTTCACAGGTTATTTAGAGGGTATGTAGTCAACAGGGATCCCTCTCTGCATTCTGCATGCTTACCAGCTGTCTTCTCTGTGGGGAGCACAATTCCTATTAGTTGAATAAGGACAGCACAGCTGGTAAACTTGTATGGAATGGCTCTGGGTACACACCCATCCCTCCCTGGGCAGATTAACAGAGGAGGTGAAGGGGTCCTGATTTGGTGCATGATCTTCCACCCCCCTGGTGAGACCCCATCCCTTGCCTACCTGCGTGGGAGGACCTAGTTGCAGCAATGGAGCTGTCATTGGTGATCTGCTGCTGAAGCAAAGTACCTGTAAGGACTCTGAGGAGACAAGTGTTATTCATTTGCCTTTGCCTTTGCAGGATAGTTCCTGTGGCTATTCATGCAACATACTTCTTTTGGGCAAAGCTTCCTCTTGTGTCTTTCCATTCCAATGCTCCTGGCTCTAAAGACACAAGCCAGGGCAACGAAGGCCCATGCCATTCACACTGATATCCAAGGTCTACATTGCCTTGTGGAAAGTTATACGGAGCTATTGTGATTGTAGTCTGTACAACGGATTCATGAGGAAGTTGCAAATTCTATCCTCCATAGGACAGAGAAGCAAGAAGTACAGACAGTTGATTTCAATATGAAAACCTGAAATTACACGAACTCTTTTGCAGCCATAATTTAACAGTACAGTCACCTAAATACAGCACAGAATTACAGCACAGCCCCAGAGGCACTGAGTGGCCCCATGTGTTTCGCCATGCAAGAAGACAGAAGTAGGGATCCTATGTTTCTAAAAGCAACAGATCTTGTAGGTCAGGAAGGTGTGTTGTGATGGTGTCTTGCTGTGGGGTGTCAGATGTCTTCCAAGTCTAGGTGGCTCCCTTCCCACCTACCCCAGGCTCACCTCCCTCCAGCCCCTCTCTCTATGAACATTTCTTCCAACAAAAGTTCCAGTAGCAGAAGTGGACCTGGCTAAGGGAAACCGCTTGCCTAGAGGAGCAGAAGGAAAGTAAGGCTTCGGAAGGAGGAGGACTTAGCGGCTCTCCCCTGCCCAAGCCTTCTGCCTCGAAATCAGGTCCCTCCACAGCAACTTCTACATGACTAGCATTATGCAATGTTAAGCACTTGTGCTGCTCTCAGGTCTAGTCTGAGTCCCCCTTCCACTTCTCCAGCATGCGGCCCACGGTCCCCCTTGCATTATCAGGGCCCCATCTGCATTCAGTGTGGCCTTCCACCATGATAAGCAGGGCTGGTATCAAAGGTACTCTCAAGCAAGCCCCCCCGCCCCGCCACTGACAATTGCCCCTGGGGCTGCTCCTCCTCCTCACCATTGCAGCAGGCTCTTGCTCTGGCCCAGAGCATGGAGTTGGTGAGAAGAAGATCCCTGGCTCTCTGCCCACCAAACAAGTAGCAGGGATGGGAAAGAGGAGGAGGTAGAGCAAGAGCAGATGGTCACTGAGGAAGAGGTCCCTTGGCCAGCAGCCCCCAAAAAGCTGTAGAGCACCTTCCAGCTGCAGCAGTGTGGTACTACTCTCTGCCAACACAAGGGATGGTAGGAGCTATCCCTTCCCCCAAGCAGGCATAGCCTGAGCGTAGAAACGAGCTGTGTACAGCAGCCATACATTCAACTACTTCATAAGTTTTCACTCACATCAAAGTACAAGGAGAAAGCATAAAAACAAGCGTTAACCAGCTGGATATGCCTCAAATAGCTGCTGATCATACCCTGCTGTTCAGAAGAGGAATTATAATCATTGGTATAAAGGTGGGGAAATTGTGTTGCAAAGCAGGAAAGTGATTTGCAAGCATTACCCAAAGTATCTGAGGACTACATACCTCTCTCCACTGTTTGGTTTCTATGCCCTGAGAATACAGCACACATACTGCAAAGAGAAAAAGCACAAGTCAACTCAGACAGTGGCATGGGAAAAAGAGTTTAAGAATAGTATCATGCTGTGCAGCCTATATTAGCCAGACACCTCGGGCTTCAACAAGAACAGGAACCAAGCAGATTCATTGAATTTGGATTCTTCTGTTGTGATTTGGGGCTGAGCGTACATTCCAGAAAACAGCAAAGCCCTGCTCTCTTATCTCTTTTGCTCCTTTCCACAACACTGATACTATTTACGACAATGTGTGCAAAAATAGCACTGCTACATCTCTCTCTAGCTCCCTATACCATGAAAAGCAGTTTACCCTCAAGACAGGCCAAAACAGAGTGGCTGAGTTCTGGAACGTCACAGGTGGTGGGGAAAATGAAATGGAAGCTCCTGGAAGAGGACAATTACTCCACACCAAGTAGCAGAAGGTACTGTGGGATGGGGCCTTAGCTATCTACTGCACTGACCTGAAACATTAGATGGCCATGCATATTGGTAGAGCTACACTTGGAACTCAATAAAAGTTAAAAGTCCAGCAACATCTGCTCTGCCTGCTGATGCACATCCATGAGAATCAAGATAAGCAAAGCTGAGCCTGCTGAGCCCACATTATCCTAACAGAAATATCAACAGAGAATTTCTCAGAGGTCCGCCACTCACTCAAAGAACCAAGCAAAGAACCAAGAACCCAGTCCCCATATCAACAGCAATGTTTGTTTGTTTGTGCATTTATTCTTACACTCCTATCCTGCCTTTTGTCCATGGAGCTCAAGATGACCCATACAGGTTTCTTTTCCCTCCCCATTTTATTCTTATAGCCAATCTGCAAGGTCACCTGTTGAGCTTCACAACAAGACAGGGATTGGATCTCACGTCTTTTTAATCCTAAATCCAACATCGTAACCACTGCCTCACACTCACTCTCAAAAAAGCACAGCTTTCTTTTATTGGCCTTGTTCTTTCAATCCTAGTTGCCTAAGCTAGGTCCACTTTGTGAAATGGGACAGAGTCCTGTCATTGTGACATTGAGGGCATGGCTTGAAGGACTCCTGGTCTGGGGCTTGGCTCATGTATGGAAAAGCAGCTATCAAGGGTGGAGCAGCTGTCCTGGAGATGAGGAGCTAACCTAGGCAGAAGCCTCCAGAAACCTATTCGGCTCTCTGAACTTCCAGAATCACCATGGGGATCTAGTGCTTGCAGAAGACAAGCAAGCAAGCAAGCGCGGCATGCAGCCAAGTCTCATATATCAGTCTACTTCAATCTAGTTCCCTCCCAGTTGTTGAGACTGCACTCCTCATAATTCTTGGCCAGCATGTTGAATCCACATTTACTCCCATGTAAGTGTGTATAAGATGGCAGCTTTACACTGCAATCCTATACTCATTTGCTCAAAAATAAGTCGCAATACAAAACATATAAAGAACAAGTTTTATCCAGCTCATTCAATTCCAGTCCAGGCAGGATAACTTTCCCTACAATTAAGCGTCTTCCTTCCTGTTCCTTATGGATAAGCAGTGCAGTTAGGATGAGAAGCAGGTAAGTGCTCAAAATGCCCCTGCTTTTTGTTTTGACTGATACAAGTTGCCTCTTATGCAACCAGCCCAAGGCCAATGGGAAACTGTTTCTCGTTTAGAGGCTGAGCGGGAGGCAGTCTCACCATCCGACTACAGCAAATGCATTCAGGTTCATCTTTCATGATTTTGCAGGGAAACCACAGAAATCAAAGCAAGAGCTTATGGGTGACTGTTTAAATTAGCCAATCAAGATACCTTCATTAGTATCTTTGGCTCCCTTTCAAATACGTCCCATTACGAAAGCACAAGGGGGATGCAAAGAAGATTAATGAGGTTGTAATGAAGAGCTGCTGCCAAAGCACTGGCAAACCGGCAGACAGAAAATACTGCCCCAGCCATCTTTTCTCCAGCTCCGCTCTCAATGTCCGCCTTCATCTGTGTGAGGATCTTAAGGATGCTCCCTGCATTCTTTACCTAGTAAAGAACGTTCTACAAATGCAACAAAATGTGGCATTCTCCTGTTCAGGAGTCGAACCAGCCAGCCATGTTCCGGGATATTCTGTTCCGTCTCTCCTCTGCACCTCTTCTAATGGCCCGTCATCATTCTACAGTCATAACACATGCTGTCTGGGCTGTCTGGATTTTATCCCTTCCCCATCCCCTTGAGGTTATTCCCCTAACAATTTGGGGGGGGGGGGCATCTCCTAAAGCTTCAGATACCTTCCTCTTGTGCATGGTTGGTGCCATTTTGTTTACACAAGGATATGCACTTGGATAATGAGATTGTTATTAGCATATGGCAACCTTCTCCAACCTGGTACCCTCTGGCTGTGTCGGACTACAACTCCCAGCATGCCCCAGTGATGGCTAAGGTGTGCTGAGCATTGTAATCCAACACGTCTAGAAAGCATGAGATTGGGGAAAGCTGGCATATGGGGTATGATACAGACCCTGTGAGAAGGGTCCATGCGTTCAGAACTAACAAGTTCTAGATTTGTCAAGAACATTTGTAAGTTAAGCACAGAAATCCTGCAACCAAACTACTACCTGAAAGTAAAATACTACCAAAATACTACATGTAAGCAAATATGTAGTATTTACTTACATGGATCTGATTTGGAGAATGTATCCTTATCCAGAAGATTCCTAAAATAAAAAGAAAAGGGGAAAGGATTATGCAATAGCTGAGATAGCTCAGTTTTCAATACAGAAACAGAACTTGTTGACCCATCTCCCGTTGTAGTCGCAGTGAAACTGAAACAGCACTTTACCACACCAGCTGCACGACACACGCACTCATTTGCCAGGCCTTTTTGCACATCAGTGCACACATAAGCTGAACTTGTTTACTGAAGCCATCATGGTTGAGCTGTTGGCAGCTGCCAGGGTGGACCAGGGCTCAGAGCTTAGGAACCAAGCCAAGGAGCTCAGAGAAACACCTAAAGGACAGGAAGACCTTGTTGACTGGGCAAGTCTCAGCCCAACCAAAACCCCCTTCGCTACAGGGCAGCCCAATCATCATCCTGGGCAGACCAGCCCAGAGCCTGAAAATATTTCATTGCTAGGGAAACCTACTAGCCCATAGTTCTATCGCTGAGCACACAGAGCAGAGGGGAACTGGATCTAGACCAGCTAGAGTCTGGTTTTAACAGAAACTAACCTCTTTCTTAATAAATATGTTTCCTTTCCTGAGAAACGTGCAGTCTTGCAGCCTTTTGGATTATCACCTCATATGAAAAGGATCAGCTGTATGCCAATTATACCAATGCAAATGTAAAGGGATTGGTCTGGAGGACCTTTGGTAAATGTTATCAAAGCTTGCATCATTTTAAATGGGTTGCTGTATAACATGAGCCATTTCTACACAGCCATTCTTTGAGAAGCTTTGCTTGCTCTCCTGCTTCAGCTTTTGTGCTCTAAAAGCATGCATGTTTTCCCAAAATTTATGGAAATCTAGTGTAAACAGTGAAACATGTTGACCTTCCAAATACTGATTTATTTGGATCATCCCTGTTAAACAAGTTACCTCTACCCTAAGAGATTAAGAAAAACAAACACCTAGTGGAATCAGTCTAAAGCAGGACTGGGTAGCTGGTATCCCTCCAGGTGCTGTGGGATTCCAAGTCCATCAGCCACAGCTAACACAGCCAATGGTCAAGCATAGCAGGAGATGCACTCTAACAACTTCTGGAGGGCCACATACTCCTCACTTGTGCTCAAAACTACAAAGAATCAGTGGTTGATAGCATCCAGAAGCTCAACATGGATCAATACATTGGAAGATTCACTGGTGGAAGTGTTTGTTTTGCATTGCATTATTGAGTGCTCTTGAATCCAGCTGAGAATATTCTAGAATCTAGATAATGCAAGCAACGACTTTACATTATGCTGATTTCATTTTATAAATCTGTATTTTTGTAAACTGCATGTGTAATAATTATCTCAGAACAGTGGAGGAGAACACAAAGAAATCATTCTTTCAGTATACGGGCTAAATTAAATTTTGGAGAGGCTCTTGGAGCCCAAATTCTAGTGTCAGGCAGGGCCAAACCTGTGGGGCTGAAAACACAAACAATAGTAGCATGTTAGAGCTTTGAATTCTTACTGATAGCAGCTGAGCAATTTGAGACATTTCAGACTTTTGCAATGGGAGGAAACTGTACAGAAGCCTGGAAATTACAAAATGATCAGAAGGAAAGGGTTGGGCCATCCATTGAACCACAAAAGCTAGACTCTGTCTCTGGATGGCCCAGATTTGGCTCCCAGGCCTGAGGCTACCCAGCCGTCGCCTAGGCCAGTTGTGTTTTCCATAGTGGCACATAAACAAACACCTCCGTCTTTGTTCTGCTGGTGTGGATGATGAGGTGGACCATGCTGAATGCACATTCATTACCACCCATAGGCTATGCCCTGCTTAGAGATACACCTTTGTGAACTGTGGAGAGAAAACAGGGTGGGGAAGGTGCAAACATAATGTAAGAACTGAGCCTTTAAACTTTGATGAAACTTTTATTCCATGCCTGGTACTAAAATACACTGAGACATGCTGGTGTATTTTACGACCTTCCCTGAAGTCTGTCATAACTTTTACTACACTCTGGAAACCTTAGACTGCAGGCAGTGCATTCGGAGATGTTACATGCTCTGTTCCTCCAAAACAAGTACCCACCACTCACCTATTTGGTCAGTCCCAAATCCTGAGTGAAACAAAATAATGCTGGGTGCTGTCCAGCACTTGTAGTGCTGAATGCAGCCAGGAAAAGCCGTAATAAAGACCTTGCCGCATGTGTTAGAGGGATGCTTGGCTAACTCGGATGAACTCTGGATGGGACCCTAATGTCAAAGAGTGTCAGGAATGAATAGCAGAGATAATGAGGGATTCAAAGTGCCTTAATAGCATTCCTGCTTCAGAGCCAGGGCTCCTGTGAATGTTTCTTTCAATGGCTTATCTTCAGAGCATGCAAGAGTGTCAATTAAATGTAAGAAGATATACAGGCTGAGTGCAGACAGAGCTTTGTTTTGACTCACTGGCACACTCATTGCAGGAAATAATAATTCATTGCTTTAGGGACAGGATTACAGAAGGTCAGGGAGAAAGCTGCTCTGAGTCAGCACAACATGTGGGGGGAAACAAAAGATAGACCTGCATTTCCCCCTATATGGCTGCTGCTGAATTAACAGATAAGGGGCACTGCTGGGACTGCAAAGGGCACTGGATATCAAAGCCTCTCACTATGGCCAAACATGCAGAACTGCAGGCTTCAGAGTAATATGTATGTAATATACCTTATCCTCTGCAGCTCATCCACTGCAATTCATTCCAAACACTCCAAAGACTTACGGGCATCCCAAGAAGGGTAATCTCTCCTCCTGTCTTAAGAAGTGACACTCAATATTTAAGAAAGGAAGGACCCTATTTGAGCTGTTCTCATAAAGCCAGATAAATTCTGGGAAGTTGTCAGTTATTTTACAAGTATGCAAGCAGATGATGGGACTGGAAGGCTATGTTTCCATGCTATGTTAGATATTTCATATGCTAGAAATCCCAGAATATATATTTCAGAAAGCTGGTCCTAATTGCCCATTCTAATACTGATGCTCTTTTCCCTTTGCGAAATCTGGGAGAAAAAAATTCTCTTGAGAAGAAACAGGCCCTGGCACACCCATTTCTACCAGGAATGGGGAGCATGTGGTCCTTCCTGGATTTACAGTCCACCAACACTTTCCCCAGTCCTGGACTACTGCATTTTCTGGATGGGAGTGACTAATGGTAAGGTGATATGTTTATACATTGTTCCTAGCACATACAACAGTGAAATCCCCTTATTTGCAACTTTAAAGACATACTGGATTGAACATCTGACTATAGTTTTGCAGGGATGCTTTTGCTGAGTAGGATGCCATGCTCTGCAACGACAGGCTCCTTTCATGGCTTGACAATTAAGTGCAGCAACAGTAGAGTTTGTGTGGGTGATGGTCACAAATTACCAGAATGACCCATTAAGCATAAGTAGTACACGGAACAGAGAAGAACATGCTCCTTCGCATCCTGGAGAAGACAGAGTACTACACAGGGTACAGGCTGCTTTACAAGTTGTTGAGCCTTAACCAGCAGAATGAAAAATGATGCAGAACTGAAAATAGAAGCGTGTGAGCAGAAGAGAAGGCACCAAAAAGACAAAGGAGCCCAAAAGCCAGTAATTAGAAATATAATAATTCCAACCAACTGGGAACCATTTGTCCTTCGAGTAGTAACATTGGCCTATTGATGCTTCATAAAATACCACTTTCTTCTCAGCACTCTTTTCCTCTGGGAGTTCTTGATACATCTCCCCGCCTGCCCTCCCTCCATAGTCTCTCTCATTCCTGCAATGATAAAAGGCCTACTGGGATAAAACAAAATCTTCTCCATTTGCGACATGCATTGAGCAACTGTGACTTTCTGCTGGAGGACAGGGCTTGGGTGACTACCCCCCACCCCGCCACAAAATAATACTTTTCTGGCAGGATAAGTTATTTGAGGATTGGCAATAGTACAAACGGTTCGCTGCAACTACATCACACTGCAGTGATGAGAAACTGGATCAGAATTACTGTAGGAATGCACAAAGGGCAACCAAGAGATAGTGAGGCAAAGATCACGAAGTGTTACGAGCCAAGTTTCTCCCTCTAACCAGCATTAGTCTCAAATTGTTTCTTTGCTTAATACTCTTTGTTTCTACATATAAATCATTCAGCCCTGTCTCTGAGCATATACAAAGCAATTAGTGGATCCCAGTCTAGCAATCACTCTCCAAAACTCCCCTTATGCGTTCCACATCTGTAGTAGGAACTCTGTGAAAGCATGCATGCCTCCCTTCCACTCACTGTACCCCTAGCGGGGCTTCTTACTGGTGTTGGTCCCAAGCAATGGGTCCACCTCTGAAAGGGAGAGTCTTCCCATGTCAATATCTCCTCCCCAGACTGCAACTCCTCAATGTTCCTAGGGACAGGTTGATGGGTCACCCCACCTGCCCTTAAGCTAATCAACCCCACTGTTACCTCCTGCTGGGTCTCTGCAGGCTGCACCATTTCCAAAACACTTTCCTCCTTGAAACTGGAACCTGAACCATCAGTACAACTAGCATGGGGAATCTCCCGTGAGCATGCCTGAAGTTTGACAGGCCACGCGTGCAAGACAGTAAGTAGCCATGGTGAAGCACGAGAAAGGGCCACCTCATCCTCTGCCGTCCCCTTCTTCTTTTGCCATCTATTGTTCCCAGCATTAGGCTCTTCTCCAATGAATCCTTCCTTCTCATTAGGTGGCCAAAGTATTTGAGTTTCCTCTTCAGGATCTGGCCTTCTAAAGAGCAGTCAGGGTTGATCTCCTCTAAGACTGACCAGTTTGATCGCCCTGCGGTCCAAGGGACTCGCAGGAGTCTCCTCCAGCACCACAATTCAAAGGCCTCAATCCTTTGACGCTCAGCCTTCTTTTATGGTCCAACTTTCACAGCCATACAGTGCAACTGGCAAAACCATAGCCTTGACTATACGCACTTTTGGTGGCAGGGTGATGTCTCTGCTTTTTAGTATGCTGTCCAGATTTGCCATAGCTTTCCTCCCCAGGAGCAAGAGTATTTTAATTTCTTGGCTGCAGTTCCCATCTG